GTAATAGACTTGGCTGCTCGGCGCAAATCGGCGCCGACCGGCACTCGAAGTCGATGTTCCTGGTGCCACATGGCGGCGTCTAAGTAGAGACCCGCCGACCTGTAGCCCCCGATCCTCAAGGCACCGGCGATCAGCTGCAACTTCTGGGCGTCGAGGGGGAAGAGCGGGAAGTTGCCGCGGTCGGCGAGCGCCGTCAGCATCTTCACGCGAGATTCCATGGCCCGGCGAGTGGACTGAGCCAGCAGGTTCGAGTCGATCGCCGCCAGGGTGTCGGCGCGGCGACTGGGCTCCATGGCCTCAAGTGCCGCAGTCATCGACGCCCGGGCCGTCGACCGGCGCTCGGGAACATCGGTCCTGGTCTGGCTGACCAGTGCCGTCGGCGTCGCCGGCGGGACTGGGGCCAGGATCGCCACCAGTACCGCCTCCGGCACGCCGTGGTCCAGCAGTACCGGGAAGGATTCCCGAACCGCCGGCGTGTTCACAACGCCAAGTCGGGCGAAGGTCGCCAAGTGGGCTGTGCCGCCGGCCTCGGCGACCAGCTTGAGGAACTCACTGACGGTTCCGTGCCCCGGCGTCGTCGTCGGTACCAAGGCCATGCTGTTGATGGTGCGTCGTCGTCGGCGGGGTTCCTCGAGCCAGAGCAAAACGGCTGCGACACCAGGGCAAAGACAGCGGCGGCGACGACCGACGAGGAGAGAGAGAGAGAGCAACCGACGGCGACACAAGGCGCGACCGGCAAGGCTGCAGACTGCCCTTTCTTTTGCGCCGTCCGGCGACCGACTCTGGAAGACTGCCTTAGCGGCGGCAAGCTTCGAAGATGAGGACCAGACTTGCCGGCGGTGACGGCGACGAGTGTCGCAAAAGAAGCCGGCGATCTCCTAGCCCAAGGCCCTGCCGCCAAAGCGCCGCCCACTATCCGGCGGCGTCGCCCCACCTGGCCGCGGCGATCAATCCCAAGCTGCCCGAAGACCGGCGCAAGCGGCGCAGTTATGGTCAAAGTGATCGGCGCCGTTCCCAATAATGATGGGCCTGAGGCAGCGGCCGCGACCGGCGGATGTGAGCTCCCGGCACTCGGCGACGTATGGGCACCCCGGGCAGGTGCAGGGATGTGCACACCATCCCGCCACCCTGCGGCGATGCCCCTGGGTCTCCCAGGGTATGCGAGCGCCGAGAAAGCCTTCTGGCAGGCGGCGGGAGAACCAATACGCACAGAAGGTCGGCGCATCCAACGGCGGGACCTTCGGCACTGATGCGGCATCCCCGGCGTCCGCCGCTTCTTCCGTCGAGATCACATCCTCGATCGTCGGCTTGGCCAGGTGGCGCACAGACTGCGGCGCGGCGTCTTCGGCGGCCGCCCCGCGGGCATGCATCCGGTCTTTGTATCGGCGATAATCCTCAGGAAGATTCCTTTGGATTTCGCCGATCTCGGCGTTGCTGAGCTTCGACCGCAGACCGACCGTCCCAGAGCGGCGGGTCGGCCCCGGCGAAGGCGATGCACCTCGCGGCGTCTGGGAGCTGCCCCTGGCGTCCTTGGAGCGGCGTCTCGGAGTAGTCCTCTCTGGCGGTGGTGGCGACGGCGCCCTGCTCTGTGTCAACGGCGTCAGAGGGGGCACCGGCGGGAAGGTTCCCGGGGTAGAAGGCACCGATGACAACGGCGAAGTCGTCGGCTGAGCTGGGGTCCACGGCACCGGTCTCGCCTCCAACGGCGCCATGTCCGGGATCGGCACCGGCGGTGCCGGGTCACCCGCCGCGGCTGGTCTTTCTCCATGTCGGCGATGTGCTCGGCCCCTGTGCTCGGCATTGTCGGCGACGATGGGGGGGAAGATAGACCGGCGGCCCGTCGCCACCGGCGCCTGCTGGTCAGATGTGTCCATCATGTCGACGTCGGACCCGGCGTTGTTGCGGTTGGACATCGCCAGTCTGATCGCGGCGTCGTTCAGGACCTCGTCGGTGGCCTGGGTGGCCGCCGACACAGACATCGGCGTGTAAGGCTGCTGCTGCGTCGTCCGGCTCCTCGGCGGCGATGTCGGCCTCGATGGGCGCTCCGCTGCTCCACGCGGCGGCACCCGGCGACGCCGCCCATCAGCGTCGATCTCTATCACCACACCCGGCGTCTGAGCTCCTGAGGCGGCCGCCGACTCGGCCTCCATCCTCGCCAGGTTGCGGCGAATGGTCTCGGCGGTCAAACCAGACGGCTGGCGTGCCCAAGCTGTATCCGGCGCGCCTGTGGCCAAGAAGGCCGCCCCTGTGCGGTCCGGCGCGGGGGCGTCGAGGAACACGCTGGCCGATACTCCTTCAGCCGGCGAAGTGGATAGGGAAGCCGGCGGGTTCCAATTCACCTGCCCCGCCCATGTAGCCGGCGATGCTCCAGGGAAGACCGGCGTAGAAGCTGATCGTGTCATGGTCGGCGTCCCGGGAGTGCTTGAAGTCGGGGCCGGCGTGCTCGTCGTTGGACCACCCGCCTGGGCCGCGACGGCGGGGAAGAGGCGTCCCATGTGTGCTGCCACCGCCTCTTGACTCGGCGCCACCCCAGGGGGAACGATGGTGAGGGCGGCGACCAGCTCGGCGAGCGCCGTCCTGTCCTCCATCGTCAGCTCGGCGGCCAGGGCGGACCAGGCCGGCCATCCACCTCGGCGACCCTCCTCCAAAACCACTCGCAGATGCGCCACCGCCAGGCCAAGGCCACGTTCCGGCACCGGCGCTTCGGCGCGTTGCGGCGGCATCTGCGGTGGCGCCTTCCGCTGCATCGGCGCATACTGGCGATTAGAGGCCATAGCGTCGAGAGGAGGCTAAATGGAAAAGCTCGTTGCTCGAGGTGCAGAAGCTACGGCGTTCGCCGCTTCCCGCATGTTACTGCACACACACGTGTGTTTCACAACATGCTCGGCTTGACAAATCTCGACTTGCAACAACAAACACTGGATCGAAGTCAAGAAAGCCCCGACATGGCACTGCATCCAACACCTCCGTGGGTATCTCCACCAAAGCGAAGGCCTGGTGGTCCGCCCCAGGCTGAGGTTCAGAGCTACGGGACCCCCGTAGGCTGCCTAAGTCGTACCGGCATGTAAATCGTTCTGCTCTCATCTTAGGGGGCTGCCTTCGCATTTGTCAATGATTCCTAGGATACGGTGAGAGACACATGTCTCCCGACGTTCGTTTAGATTTCACTCCTGATCTGCTTTCACGTAATGACAAGACGAGAACATGGTTCCAAACCAGCCGCAAACAGATATTACATGAAACAGCATTACATGATCCACTCCACTGGTGCCGAACAGCTCCTTGCAATAGAGGAGGAAGGGGACAAGAGTATGGGAGGTGACGTGCCTGCAAGGAAGAGTGCCAGGAAGACCGAAGATGAGAAGAACACTACCGGCAACCAGCACGCATCCGGTAGAGCAAGGATACAATGATGGCATGAATTCTCAGGGACCAAAACTTAAAATCACACAAACAGATACGTGCACAGTCCTCATTTGCAACGATGTGAACATGACATTCCATGACAAGGTCAAGCGTTTCTCGGCCGCACGGGTTTGCAAATTAGAAGCTGGCGGCCATCTGCGCAAGACAGCAACTCGTCTGGCAACAGAAACCGTGCGCTCCTCCCTCGTTTCCTTCTTAACTTCCTTCGCGCCCTCCTTCCTTCCGCACACATTCCTGCCTTCCTTCGTTCCTTCCTTCCTTCCTTGCTTGCTTCATGCCTGGCTTCCTAGCTGAAGCCTCCGGGCCGAGAAGATGCAGAATTTCTTTTTGGACCCCTCACATTGAGGCGCTTCACCCCCCTTTGTCCCACGAACTCGGTTCCAACCTCCGGAGATACGTCGATGCCGAGAAGCTGAGCTGTTGCTCAAGAGCTTCGCCCAAGCTACTATAGCAGGCATACGTCGTAAATCAGCTGCCTCCCTTGCTGTGGCAGCTGAGACTTGAGGCTGAGTTCCTTGAGCCCCTTATGAAAACCTGATCTTTTTTTTAACTCTGTTCACTGAGGTTTCAAGAAAATGATACAACCTGGAGGTATTCTGAAGACCCAGCAAAAACACCAAAGACGGCCCCCTAACCACAAACCTACACCCCTTTTTGAATCAGGACTTGTGCAATCGCCTGAGCATCGCCAGAACACGCGTTGCCCACAACCCCTAAGCCTCTAATTTGTTCCCTGCCCTGCCTGCCCCGCCCCTAATCCCACCCCTAAGCACCCTTTTTTGCATCTGGTTAAACCCTAAACCCTAAACCCCCAAGCACCCTAAACCCCTCAACTCGAAGCGCCCTAGTGGACCTCGGAGGGCTCCACGGGCCCGCCCAGAAAGTGCTCCACGGCCCTGGGGGTCAACACCCTGGCAGCTTGAAGGACCTGCTGTTGGATTTTGGGGGATGAGGGGATCAAGGTTTATGAGCTCTGGGTTTAATGGTCTTATTTGGGGATGAGGGGCTCAAGGTTTATGGGCTCTGGGTTTAATGGTCTTATGGGTTTCGACTCTCACACTCGCACCGGGCAGGCAGGGCTCCACACCATGGTCTTATGGGTTTAAGGTTTCGGTGCTCACTCTGCAGACCACATGGCATCACCGAGCGTCGTATCAAGATCATCTTGACCATCATCATCATCAGCAGCATCATCACCAACACCATCATCGTCATCATCATCATCATCTTCATCAGCACCATTACCATCAAACCATGGCCTGTGCCGAACCATTCTAACGCGCTTCGAATCTGAAAGTGCAACCCTCGACCATCCATCATTCTCATCATCACCACTACCACAATCGTTGGCAACTTCATTCGCAATCTGGTGACATCTTGGTGACCGCCCTGTCGGCCAAGTCAGCTCTAGTACGACAATTAGCACTCGGTAGCAATGACGGCAATCGGTACGTGAAGCGTCAAACAAGAGAAAATATGTATTCTGTACTCTGTATTATGTATTACGTCTTCGCTGGCAGTATTATTCTTACTGTTCTTTTCTTATCAGTATTCTTCTATTATTGTTATTCGTATCCGTATCAGAAACTATGACTGTTGTTCTTACTATTTTAATGAAGTAAAACAAATAATAATCATCGTTATCTCTGTTCTTAATGTAACAACAATAATGCCTTTTCACATCAGTCTTAGTACTACTACTGCTACTGCTACTACTACTACTACTACTACGACGACGACTACTACTACGACCACCACTACCACTACGACTACCACTACCACTACGAACACTACTACTGCTACTAACACCACAGTAATTCATGATCTTGTTATTGTACTTGTGAGCATAGTTCTGAACATTTTTATCATTGTCATCATTACTGTGCTTATTATTAATGTTAACCTTATGATTATTAAGAATATTGCTACTAGTATCACCGTTATTGTTGCTATCATTATTATTCTTATTACTGTTGATAATCTTTTTTGCTGTTATTACTTATTATTGTCATTCGCCTTGTAGCTATTGTTATCCGCCTGGACCAAGGGAGCGTAGCTCGATTGCCATTCCCTCAACGGGTAAGTCGTCACCTGACGAGAGTGCGGCAAGAGTCGGAACTTGCCCAACCCGGTGGATCACTTCGGGTCTGGTCTTTAGGAGTTTGAAGCGCATCTGCCTCCAGCTTTCCTTGACTACATCCGCGAGGAGGGCTTGCAACCGTGACAAGGCTGGAGCAACATGCGCACAACCCATGCATGCAAGCCAGTATGCTATCTGCATGCTTTATGAAATACGAACTTTCACTCCAGGTGTGGTGGCGCACCCTTCACCCTCAATCGCGGCGAGCATGCACGGTCCACCCGCTTGCAATTAAAGCTTACACCCTGAACCCTAAACCCCACACCCCTGAACCATCTTGACACCCCCAAAGTCGAAAACCCCCTCCGGGAAGCTTTGTTGTTTGGGAACCCCCTTCTTGCACCTCATGCTCCTGGCACTCCCCAGAATCCCAGGATTGTTGGCTTCGGGCTTCCGGTTCTTCTGACCGCGCTTATTAGGCCAAGTTCTAGTTGGACTCTCAGGGCTTTGGGTGTCTCTCTTTCTCCATCTTTGGGCCCCCTTTAAAGGGAGCCCTTTAAGGAACCCTTGTAGAGTTGTAGACTTTCTCTCTTGCTCCAGGACCCTAATCCGCTCCCCCGGCTTACTTCCGACGAGAGTGGCAGCTGTCCCCAACGATTCCCGGGTTTAGGGTGTCGCCTCTAAACCCTAAACCCTCAACCCCTAAACCATGGGGTTTTGCCCCACCCCGCTTGGCAAGGAGGAGCACACGTGGCAGGGTCGTCTTGGAGTTTCTCTCTCTCGACAGCCATCCCCGAGGGTCTCGTCAAGCAGGGGAGCAAAATGCAGCTCCACACAGACTACCGACCTCCTTCTGTCAGGAATCTGATACAACAGAGCAGCGAAGGTTGGGGTTTAGAGTTTAGGATTGAAAGATTGTTGCTGCCTCTTGCCCAGCTAGGACAAGCCTGCGTTGCAGCAAGTGTTTAGGAGTTTAGGGTTCAGGGTCGCCCCCCTCCCCATATCACAAAAACTCGGGCCTCGACATCGGGGCCCTGTTGTAGAACAGGCCGAGTGGTGCGCTCCAGTGGACTTGGAATCTTTTGCACCAGGTTGACTCCCAGAACCTTGTGTACGGTCGGGGCTTGGGGTTCCAAGTAATGCGCGGGGGGCCCTCAACCCCAAACCCCTAAACCCTAAACCTTTTGTGGGGGGCCTCAAAGTTGAGAGTAGGGGTCGGGTGTGTATTAGAGTATGATTCAGGCGAGGAACCTTAAGGAATAGTATTGGCATGTCTTTGGGGCTCGGTGGGACTTGTAGACTCTGCGGCACTCCATACCCTAAACCCTGAACCCTAAACCCTAAACCCATCAGAAGCTCCATAGATTCGCAAGGCGACGACTACTCGTGCTTCAAGGCTTGAGCGCTCCCGTCCAGGTTTGGGGCTCAGTGTTTAGGGTATAGGGTTGAGGGTTCAGGGTTTCGTATTTAGGATTTAGGGTTTAGGGTTCCGGGTTCAGGGTTTAGGGACACTCTTGGAAACCGACATTTTGCACAGAAGCCCTGGTCTGGAAGAAGCAACCACGCAAAGTCAGAAAGGCTTTTCCGCAGTCTCTGTTCGCATGTCCATGTGATGGTGAAGAAGCCGCGTTGAAGAAAGAACCTCTTGAAGAACCTAGTCGTTGAATTGATCATAGTCATAGCCGGCTCCCGCAAGACCTTACGATCTGTTTTTGACGACCGCCTTATGGTCTCAACATCGAGAAAACAATGAAGCCGTAAGTCTGAATCCATTCCTGCCAAAGGAACCCAGAGAATCGGCCCTGGAATCTCTGCTCTGGCATACCTGAGGCCTGCACAGCTCCTCCCCCGCGCTTGTTGGGGTTGTAGGGCTCGCACCTTTGCTTTGCTTCGCTCGGGCTTTGAGGCAGCAGCAGACCTGCTAGCCCGCGCTCCAGGAGCCCTCTGACTGTCTCTTCGGCTCCCTCTTGGCAGCCCCGCAGTTTAAGACGCGCCAAAGGCACGGCTTTTCGAAAAAGAACTGAAGTCGAACTGCGTGGGCAAAACACACGTCACATACACGGTAGCGGCAGTAGCACTAGTTCTTGTTGTTCCACTCTTATTCATCATACTACTGGTACTAGACTCAACTCTTTTTTGCATCAGGACTTGTGGAGGATCTGGCTCGTAAGCCTGGCTACTTGCGCTCATGACACTTGGGCCATGGCAAAGCGATCAGGTACACTGCCTCGGTGAAGTGCCCGAGCCTCGAACTTGAGACAAAGCTAGTACTCGTGTTTTGGCTGATGTAGTTTCAGTCGTACTCGTCCTCATATGCCACCGACTACAGCCAGCAGCAACCACAACAACACGGCACCGCCAGCACCACTTCTACTACCCATTACCACAAGCACTGCCACCACAACCTCTGAGACTGCGACTACTACTGCTACTGCTCCTGCTGCTGCTGCTGCTCCTACTACTCCTGCTGCTGCTGCTGCTGCTGCTGCTACTACTACTACTACTACTACTACTACTGCTACTGCTACTGCTCCTGCTACTGCTCCTGCTGCTACTACTGCTGCTACTGCTACTAGTGCTACTACTGCTACTACTGCTACTACCGCTACTACTGCTACTACTGCCACTACTGCCCCTTTACCACTACTACCACTACTTGCACTACCACTGCACACTACCACTACCAAGACCACCACCATGCCAACGACGACCGGCAGCGCCACCGCTTCCAAAGTCGACCCTGCGCCACCCACCCACCCACCCACCCACACACACACACACAAACACGGACGGACGGACGGACGGACGGATGCACCTATCACGACGGCAAGTGCGAGACCCCCCGGCTATGCTGCTGTGACGTAGAGGCTTCAGGGAAGCCTAGTGCAGATCAAGAAGCCGATTTAGGTCGTAGATACCCGCAGCCCATATAAATATGTAAGCTGGGGCTGCGGGTTTCCAAGTTAACCTATGCAAGGCCCTAGGCACCTCGTGGCGAAGGCCCCAGGTTGCTGGCGCATCAGCTCCCCGTTCTTCTCGGATTTGGGTCGGGAGCTCCTTGGCTAGGGTTTAGGGCTTCGGGCTTCGACCCGCACACTCGCTCAAAGCTGGCACGGACGCATGACAGACGGTCTCAGCTTTCTTTGCTAATCCAGCGACTTGAGAATCCGTGTAGACACTGTGTCAGACTTTGGGCTTCCCATGCAGAAACACGGTTGCCACTGTGCTCTTCGGTCAAAAGCGGTGGGGCTCCGCAGAACGTGGCTTGGAGCCCTACACCCTAAGCTTCCTCACTTCATGAGTTTGCCACAGAGCTCCGTTGTTGGAGCCCTGTCTCCTCTTCCGACTTACTGAAACCGATGCTTCTCGACTGATATGTCTGCATCATCAGACTTGCTCTTGTCCACACCCTTTGGCAACTCTGCGGCTTTTGCCTTGCATTTCTCTTGAAACCCAGTCATATCAGCAGGCAGTTTGTCATCAGGCAATATGCAGGTCCGGCAAGTAGGCGAACCAGTCATTATGTGGTGTATGCATGCAGACCACTTCATAAACACAGCCCCACAGTGCGGGCAGGCATACTTTGCAGTAGCTAGCACGGCTGCGGCAGACTTCGGTACTGCGGCGGATTCGTTGCTGGACAGGCCCAGCAAACTCGCCAGCGGAGGCCGACCCTGTAATGTGGATACCTTCACTGCCAGATTGTCGTCATTTCCGGCCTGGTTCTTCTTCTTTTCTTCTCGATGCTTCCCAGGCACAAACCCCTCCGGCTTGTCATCTGCCATCCCATGCTCAAATTGATCACTATTCTGGCTCGCCTCGCCGTACTCATCATGTAAACTCTCCGGATCCCGATTGATGGTGCGCCATATCCGATTACGTGCCTTTGTGTCGGAGAATGCACGCCAGTCGTCGTTTTTCCGAGACCAAGAGTCATACCATCTGCACGATTTCCTGTTCTTTCCAGCATTTTGTTCCGATGAACTGCTACCGTACCACTGGTCCCTCCACCACTCCTTGTTGTTGTCGCTCATCGTCCGGCAAGACCTGCCATCCTTTCTACTGTCGGCCAGTGATGCAGGAAAAATGTCCAAAGTTGGCAGACGCATTCCATGTTCATCAAAGGCCATGGGCTTGCAGCCCTCGGGAATGGCGCTGGTGAGCCAAGCTGATCTCTGTTGCCGTTGAATGTTTGCAGCATAGCCCTGGATGGAGGACCACTCTGACTTGCAAGGGCGCTCGCTAGTGTGTCCTTTCCAGTCCTCGGCGCCCTCGAAGTGGTTCTGGCATTCCACAGCTTTCTCGTGGCTTCGAAAATTGATGTATGCTAAACCTCGGTTCTCGAATTTGCCCATGTCCATAGGCAAATAGAAGTAGTCATATGCACAAGGGAAGAGCTCATCCAGTAAACCCAGTAGAATCTCTGCAGTCAGAGCCTTCGGAAGACGTGTCAGAACGACGGTTGTTTCCCCACCTTCTGAATTCGATGCCGCCTTGGAGGTCATGTGCCGGACCTTCCAATGCTTGCCGCCTTGCCCCTTGTCCCCGCATGCCGACCTCATCCTGTCAGGCAGGTGTTCTAGCAGCAACTCTGCAGCTCTTGATTTCAGAGCAGCAGAACAGGTTACGGCACGGATGATTGAGCCAAAATGGCAAGGTTGGAAAGGGGGCTTTGATCCCACTACTTGGGGTCGAGACGACAAGCCTCCTGCGAGATTGTTCATGGTCTGAGTCTGGGGGTGGGCCCGTCGGCTTTGGGCAACGACGTCTGAACGGAGCAACATCTTCTGCATGCCTGCATCTGAAAGCTTCACCTTCACGACGAAGCCATGAGCAGTTCTGCAGTAGACTTCTCCCTGAAACTTTGCTGAGTTCTCTTCAGCCGGACCAGAAGTGCTATTGATGTGGAGCTCAGCATAGGACTCGCATCCGTTTGCTTTGGCATCAGGCCTCCCAAAAGCAAGCCTTATACTATGTTATACTGAACTATGCTGAACTATACTATACTATACTATACTATCCTATGCTATGCTATGCTATGCTATGCTATGCTATGCTATGCTATGCTATGCTATGCTATGCTATGCTATGCTATGCTATGCTATGCTATACTAAACTCTTTCTATGCTATACCACACTATACT